GAGCGTTCCGGGGGAGTAGAATAACTGTGAGACCAAAACAAGTAGAATGAGCGGAGGACAACAAACAACTCGCCTCACTGAACGGACAGAAATACACCCAAAGCAATGAACGCAACTAACAACGATTAGGGAAGTAGAAGGCTAAATGTGACTGTGAGTTGGAATTTTGCTAGAAGTCAGTCAGGCTATAGATAATCCTCCAAAGTCGACGGGATCTTTGTTTTTCGTTCTGTAATTTCTACAAATATTGAAGTAGGAAACAGTGATATTCTTCAAACAAGCATAAAATAATATACGCCTTGCTAATCGTAAAATTACTTCCCACTGTAACAATCGGGAAATTGTATTTCTTCTGAGTATATTTTGTTCTGGAATCTGCTGTTCAAATTTAAAAAAATCCTAAGAATCAAGAATACATTTGTTCCCGTAGCAAACCATTTTCATAAGACCAAGCGCGTTTATCATTTGGGGAGAGAATTTCCGGTTCCTGACATGGTTGCCAATCACACGAAAATCCTATTCAAGTTGAATTCTGGAGCGTTTTCTTTATTTATTCAGTATTCGTTCGCTGTGATGCAGAACGTATTAGTTACATGATAAAACAAAAGCAGATACAGAAAATAACATCTTGCACATTTATTCAGTTACAAAGGGCGTTTTGTCACCGTAATTCCACTAATAGGGAACAACCAAGATATGGCACGACGTCATACGGTTGTCGCCCACAAAGACCACAAGACAGAACAAGTTTTGATTAAGAATTGAGTCATTGTATCCTCGTGTTTAGGTTTGTGCTTATTCCACGAACGTGATCCGAATTGAAAGGGGTTATCGATGAACTAGCTCAAAACTCCCAGTGCTCACGGTATAGCTTTGCTAAGAAGCGACGAGTAAAGGCGATGGATTGAATAAAAAATGCTGAAAGATCACAGAAGACGCCGTACAAGAGGTTTATTATTCTGAATCTCCTGAAACTACTTTGAATCGATCAACTCAGTACGTCGAGAGAAATATTGAAAAACAGCATATCCGTTATCCCCATCCTGTGACTGATCCACTTTTATAAGTATAGAAAAGTGGGTGTCGTGGCTCTATGATGTTATAGACTAAGCGTGCTTTGATTGGCGGGCAGAATTGGTGAAATTTACTGTGATTCATATACTAATATGTGTTGGCTGAATGTGATG